AAGTTTACTCTTAATCAACCACCTAAAATTTGAAAACTATTAATAATAAATACTAGGCCTCCATTGTAATTAGAATTAGACCTTACTCAATTTTCTTTCTTTTTTCCTTGATTAATTTTAGAATAAGTTAGTTACACTAACATTATATATCTCAACTGTTACAAACTTATTAATATTAAAATTTTAAATATTCAGATTAGAGCCCTCTCTAGTAGTAACTCATTTGTGGGTGTGGGACATAAGACTAGCCATGCACCTATTAGGTTTGCCAATGAGTTTATTAAATGTATTATTTTAATAAAATTGATTTTTATCAAAACTAAAATGAATACAAACAAATTAATTTAGGTTTAAATCAAAACTAAAATGAATACAAACAAATTAAATTATCTAAACCTGTGGTAGTAGCTTCACACTTAAGGCACAATATTAATGTAGTTCTTTGTCAAGAATTAATTTCCTTTTTAAGAAAACACCAATTCAACTAACAAAAAACAAAACAGACTTTGAAAAAACAAAAAATTATTAACTTTTTTTAAATGTTTTATCATATCATATATTTTTTCAAACAAGAATGAAAATGCAGCAAAAGAAATTGCATAACAAATGATAAATGACTTGAAAAAATATCTTTTAATTTTGAATCCTACCATTTTATGCGTATGTTTCGTCCAACAACAATAAGAATTGAATATTAATGGATTGATTTTGTAGAGTTGAGTCTAATCAAAAATAAATTAAATATGAAATGATTTAAATGATATTTAAAATAAATAAAATAACTACAAAATTTTATTTACATTTAGAATCAATTCCCCAAGAATTAATTCTAAATATAAAATCAATTATACTTTTGAGAAAACAAACATGTCAAAATAAATTTTGCATTTCTAGAATCACTTTTGACTCATCAAAAACTAAACATATAAATTTTGGGAAATACTATTTCCACCACCGCCTTAAAAATTCAAAATGCCCCTAGTCGTGACGCACTTTTTTAAATCATTTCTCCTATCAAATTGAATAGACACCTTATTATATCAAAATTTAATTGGAAGATGCATCTCCGTATATGTAAATGGTAAGTCCGAAGATGCATATCTGTAAACACCATTTATTCAAAATTAAGTAGGTGGTCCAGAGATGCAACTTCGAACGTTTATGTTTCATATCTTCACGCCAGATTTTTCCTCTCCCTCCTTCATTTTCTAAAAACTTCTCAAAACAAAGCATTTGAGCTTTGCAACATTCAAACTTCTCATCCATTTATCCAAACTTCTACCATTGGAGCCCTTTCTCCTCTTTTCCAGCAACTCATACATTCAAGTTTCTATTTCTCATTAGTTTAAATCATTAAGTTTTGCAAAATTCTATCTCTTTTTATGTTTTGATTTGTAGTTAGTTGTTTAAGCTACAATAGTTGTTTTAGATACATTAGATAGTAGTGTAAATGAAATTGGTAGCCTACAAGAACATGCATTGACATATTTTTGGAGGGTTAGGGCAGCAATGACGTTTATGCCATGATTGAGAATTGCATCATGGTCTGGAGATGCATCTTTGAATTTTCTCAATGCTATTTTCGGAGATGCATCTCCGAATTTGACTCGGACTGAAATTTGATTGATTTTGTGGTGTTTGACATGCCATTTTTCTCCGTGTCTGTTTGTAATGCATGTGCAATGGTTGAAAATAACCCTGACAGAGTTAGGCTCGACCGTGTGTCCTAAACCGCGTCAGTACGACGTAAGAGGACCGCAACCAGGACCACGAGGCCACGAGTCAATGATAACTCGTTTGATGGTTCACAACGCCGAGGTTTTCAACCATCTAATTATCTTTCTCATAGCCTTCTCCCTCAGACATCTACTTCACGGGGCCACGATTCGTCAAATGATGCGGCAGAACATGAAGCCCGGGAGAAACCCGTTGCCGATGCCCCTTTAGAGAGTTATCTAGGAGGCTCATCTGACACCTTTTTACTTCATCTTTATGCAGACCATACTGCTATGCATGTTTGAGCAAAAGAAATATATTTGTTTTCTTTTACAATACATATGTTTTCAATAAATTAAATCAATATTGATGGTGATATTTTCTTTTTACAAGAGCATGCGTTTTTGAAATCGGCCAACCACGACAGAAAGATATTAAAGGTTCCACAAGCCACTGCTGTTAGGTTTGTTGATGTTATCTGCTATTTCGATCTTGTCGGTTTATGTTATGTTGTGTACATGATCATAAAGCACGACATGCAGACGACTTTTGCAGAAATGTAGCATTCTAAGACGTCATCTTTCCACCTTCCTATAGGCAAGATGACAATCACCTCAGAGGATGTCTCATGCCTCATACATCTTCCAATAAGGGAAAATTATTGTGTCATGGAAGAATGGTCGAGAGGAAGTCGTCGAGATGATGGTCACCCATTTGGGGTTGACCCAACTAAAGCCTTAAGAGAGGCAGCTAACACAAGAGGTGTTCATGCAAGATTTAATTTTTTGAAAAAGCTTTATAAAGATCATTTATAGTGGGATGCATATGTCGAAGGTGATGATCAGCAGGTTGACTACCATCAAACTTACGCATTAAGGTGTTACTTTTTGTTCTTGGTTGTTGTGGATAAAAGTACAACCTACGCCGATGTGGTCTACCTTTAATACTTCATCGACTTGACTGTGATTCACAAGTATAACTAAGGGACTACTTGTTTGATCTACATATACTCGAAGTTGGGCGAGGGTTATCTTTGAAAGACAAAGCAGATGACGGGGTGTAGCACGCTGCTTATGGTAATTTACTGTTACTAATATTTTCATAACTCATTTGTTATTAATATTCTATCTGAACCATTTTCAGGGATGGATCATCTCCCACCTCCCTTACATCAACGGTAGAAGTTGTGCCTGCAAAGAATGAGGATTGGCCACGTGTTGCCGCATTTCTTCCATACATGAAAAATAATACAGTCGAGCCATTCATAATGTATTTTTACCATCATGTACCAGACAATGTTACCTTTTACCCATACAAGGGTCACCGCAAAACGCGTAAGCTGAACATCATTTTTTATACTCTGGATGTCTGATATGTGGGTCATCTCTTATCTATCCTTATCTGCCTGAGCGAATCATGCGTCAGATTGGATATTTGAGTTTAATCCGAGTGAGCCCACTCCTCCCACCACCCGCCACAAGAATCTTTAGGCGATACTAGACAATTTCGAGAGTCATCTGATACCAAATGAGTATCGTAATGTGATAGCTCTTGTGCATTGAACTGTTGCACTCGACTACATGACATGGTTTAACAGGGTGGCACACCATATCATTACAACAAACAATGTCACACTATATCATTACAACAAACGCTCCAAGAAAATCACCTAGACCAGCTAATCAAGAGATACTTAAGTATAGGGATGACCACACCGAAAATATGTCAGTGTTCTATCAACGTGTTATGGAGATGGATAAAGCAGACATATAATCATAACTATTTGAGAATGACAGTCTTGGCTTTCGTGGAGAGCATGATTGTCGAGTTATGAAATGTCGTATAGTTTGTTTAGATGTATTTATTTTTTTAATTTCAAACAAATGTTAAGTATGATCTTCACTTTTTTAGATCTACTTTAATTAATGTATGACTTTTTTACTTTCATTTCACTTTAATATAACTTGAGTTTATTTTAATATAATTTAGACTCAAAAAATAACAATGTTAGGACAATGGTGTTGGTCTAAAATGATTTAAAGAAGTATCTAGAGACGCATCTCCAAAAAATTCTCCTTTTCAATCAACACAATTCTAATACCTTTTAAAGAATTTCCAAAAACATTTATACATTCAAATAATATATAAAAATAATGCATCTCTGAATCATATTTTAGATTTCTTAAAAGTGAAATGTACCTCATGGAAAGAGCTTCCCCTAAATTTACTAGAAGTGCATGCTAGAAAAAACAACTTCACATTTTGAATTACCGAACCATATATGAAAATGCATCGGAGTACATCTCTCAACCATATTTTATGAAAATGCACGAGGTACATCTCTAAACCATATTCTAAACCATATTTTAATAAAATGGGATGGATCTCATAAATACACAAATTGAAAATGCATCGGAGTACATCTCTCAACCATATTTTATGAAAATGCACGAGGTACATCTCTAAACCATATTTTAATTAAAATGGGATGGATCTCATAAATACACAAATGAAAATGCATCGGAGTACATCTCTCAACCATATTTTATGAAAATGCACCGAGGTACATCTCTAAACCATATTTTAATTAAAACGGGATGGATCTCATAAATATACAAATTTTTATGATTTTGAATGCGTCCAAAAGATATTTTCATGGGATGTACTCCGATGGAAAGAGTTTCTCCTAAATTTACTAGAAGTGCAAGCTAGAAAAAACAACTTCGCATTTTGAATTGCCCAATCATCTACTAAACTAAAAATTGTGGTTGTCCGCTGTAAACGCTCGTTGGAGACTCTTTGATGTAGAACCAAACAGACATTTACATTAAATGGGAATCGCTTTGCTTAAAGCAGTTCAATAGAAACAAAAATGACTGTTATGAGTTTTGGGACTTATTTTCATGTTTTGTCAAAAAAAAATGAGACAATGAAAGAAAGGAAAACAATGTGATAGTTTGTAAGGAATAATAAAAACAGTGGATATTCTTAATACTGAAAACACACCTCTAACAATGGTTTATAATCTTTCATCTGTCTCACTGTAAAGATCAGCTAGTTGATCCCATCTAGCATTTCTAGAGTACTGACCCATAAACATAAACAAAGTACTAATGTAGATAAGTAAACTGAAATTCAGAAATATTAAGGGAAAAAATTATTTAGTACCGTTGTCTTTCCTTGTTCGACAACAAAAATGGGATGAAAAGTGTCTGCATACTGTTGAAGTTGTATAAGAGGATACTACATGTTTGGAATTCCTACATAGCCAGAAAAGGAAACTTCTATAGACCATTTCGTTGAAATCTTGGCGTCATACCTTTCACCAGGTCTAAGATTCGAAAGTAATCATAAAAGAGGGCCGATTCTGCGCCTTCGAGTCCAATCCGGTTTACCCTGTTGCTTCCAGCCAGGTTATTACATGGACTCCCACCAACAATGAGATCAAAAGCACCAAATCTGCTCATCAGCTGCTCCAAACGATCAGCATCTAGCTGTTGCACATCATCCATATCAATCAAATTACCTTTTTGATTAGTTTGCTCCCACCAACTTCTAACAATGTCCCTATTCACTTGAGATTTTTCAACGGACACTACATTGTTTAGAGGGACATTAAGTCTATGGAGAGCTACCTCTGCACCACCAATTCCAGAAAAAAGAGAGAGAACATTGATCCCATCAGGAAACATTTCCTTCAGAACAGATAGGTGATATGCCACTGTGTCAACCTGAAGTAAATTGAACATATAAGAAAAGAGAATTGTACACTGGAAACTTAAATGCATAAACCACAAGTTTCTTTTATAGAGCAAAACACTAATTTGCCATCAGAATCTATTGCATCAAAATCTATTTTAGTGTTTTAGTCTGAAGTTTATTGTTCTTACTCAATTCCCATACCTTATATTCTGAATATGAACTAAATTTACTTAAAACATTCTGAGATAATTCCACCTAGATAATTATTATTATGGTTGGAGAGAAAGTTAACACAACTTGGCACTGATACCTCGTGATAGAAATTAAAAACTGATTTAGATTATGAATAGAAAGAATGTATTGTTACAAATGGAACGGAAGAGTACACAAATTACCACCAAATAACTAACTAAGCATCTTAACTAACTAAGCATCTTAAATAACAGATATATCAGAAAATGTAGTATTTCATACCTGGAAAGAATTTCCAAGTGACTTGAATCTTTCAGTCCTACTAATCCCACCACCTCTTGTGTGATATTTAGGGAAGCCCAACAGTACTTCCACTTCGTCGGGCTCTAGGGGGGCAACTTTATTCTTTCCTACCCAGACTAAATTCCATTTCCGACATTGTTCCAAAACATACTTCTTGACATTTTCAGGAGGATCGTCAAAATCCTGTAATTGTTCTACCGCTGCCCTGATTCTCTGAGTCAGTTTTGCACTGCCGTGTACCGTTTGCAGACAATTCAGCTTGGTTCTGGGATCCCATGACGGCCACCATTTCTTCAATAGGGGGAATGCATCCTGTATTGTGCGAGCTGGAAGAGGTAAAAGAGGAAATCTATTCGCAATGGGGAGATTATGAATATATCCCCTTTTCCTGGCTGCAGCACAAAAATATTTTGAGTCTACATACTCCGGCTCCACGTCATACAAGAACCTAGAAATGGTCTGCCAAACACCTTTCGGGGTCAACGCCACATTCTCGTAATAGAAGTAAGGGGGACCGCTAGCATCGTGAGGCAGTCTCCTATGTGTAATAATGGAGTTTGGATCTGTGGGAATCCCAAACCCCACCATTGGTTTGGGAAGATGAATGGCCTGGGCCTCATCATCTTCCTCACATCTTCTCTTCTCAAAGACCTTTTGCTTTTTTCTCCCCAGCACTTCATATTCATAAAGACTCCGCTTTCTTGGTTTTGCATGCCCGTTGCATTGTGGCTGTCCAGAAGTAATTTTAAATGTCATAGATGAGTGGTAGATCAAATCATTGCAAGGAAAATAATTCAGAAAAATATATGCATAAACTTATTACCTTATCTTCAGGAGGCAGAAGGGCATCTTCAGATTTTACCAGTTGAGCAACACTGATAAAATCCACCAGCTCTTCAAGTGAGGAGTTAGGACCTACAGTATTTACAAGTGAGGAAAATGAAATGGTCTGATTTCAGTTTATACTATTAAAAAAACTCAGTAATTACAAGGTCATTTTAACTTTTTTCCTACAAGTACTTGTTATAAAATTCATAAAATTGCTCCAAGTTGTTTTTTCCGAGGGATGGAAATCAATTGAAGATAGTGAAATATTCAACAAGAACCAATTAAAGCAAAAAGCTCTAGTGTTTTTGCAAAATTAAAAATCTAAAAGCCTAGAACAAATACAATAATCAATAACATGAAGCACACCTAATCTTTCTACAGCCATTAAAGCCTCCTCCTCATTGAATCCCATTTTTACCAGGGATAGTAATGTATCATCATTCTTAGAAAGAGATATTCGTATTTCCTGCAAAAAAACAGCAATCAACCCATAACTCAAAATACATAGCCTACAACTTAAAAGCAAGTGGAAACATGACAAAGATACTTTCATTTTTCACTTAAGTAGGTGAAAGAGAAATTTAAGTTACTCAGAATCTGCCCAAGGAGACTACAAACCATAAAAATTTATCTAATGTTTCAAAAAAAAAAGTATTAAGACCATCATTGCATACCCTACAGCAGACTAGAAACAATCAGAGTAGATGACACTAAGGACACAAAATAGCATGACGATAAAATGATTCAAGTAGAAAACTTTGAAAAACAAAAATGTCAAAGCACAATGAACAGTGTTTACTTCATCCGTTAACTCATCTTCATCTGATGAATCATCCCAGGAGCTCGCTGCATACTCTGAAGAGGTGGGATCTTGTTCAACTTGCTGTTGCTGCTGAGAAGAACGTTCTAGCTCCTAGAAACATGAAGAAAAACAAATATTACAAAGACAACTATGACATTGGCAACCAAAGTTGATTTTAAACATGTAAATAGTACATTGAAAATTACAGAAAAAGCTACAAAAAGGTCAAAAAGAGCCAAAGACGTAAAACGGGGGAAGAAAGGAGCTAATGAATAACGCCCCAAAAAATATGCATGTATATTAGCACATGTCGGCATAATATTAGCGACCTGCTTGTTTTTCCTTTCCACAGGCCAACAAAAAAAAACTTATGGCAATCTTGCAAGCAAGTTCTTAAAAGAAATTAAAGCAAGTACAGCCACAGACCTATGGATATCATTGAGATTGGTAAATATCATCTCAACTGTATCAAGGTAGTAGAATCGATGGAAATAGAAACCGAATCACTGATGCAGTATTGAATTAGGGAATGGCGATTACGATATGAAACAGAATACAAAGAACATCTGAGAGGGAGGACCACTACTAGCCTAGCTAAATAGCTCCCTACGAAGATAAACATTACCTCTGATCAATTCTCTAACCAATAACAGAATTAAAATTATATTCCTTTCTCTCCTCATTATTTCTGGTATAACTAACTTCCTTACTCACTTTTCTGTGATTCACTCGCCATTTCATGGGCCTATCCTTGTTCTCCTTAAGTGTGGTCCTCTATTATGGGTCAGCAACCCATTTCTACCAAAAGGCTCAGTGGTGTGAACACTAAGGGTGTGTTTGGTTCGGGGTAGATGGAGGGGAGGAGAAATTTTTAATTAAATATGTTTGGTTCAAATCTTAAAAGGGGAGGGGAGGGGAGCAAAATCCCTCCAAAACACACTTTTTGGTTCCCTCCGAATTGGGGAGATTTGGAAGGGAGGGGAGGGAATATGAGTTTTGATATTTAAAAATTATTTTATTTACTAAAATATCCTCAGTTTAATTTCAGTATTTCAAAACTATTCATTTTCTTTCGTGTTATTGCTTTTTCTCGATTGTTTCCATCAGCTTATTATAATTGTTCTCCACCTTCAAATTATTTTATAATTTCTATACTTAATATAAATCATAATCATTGTCTTTTTTTTATTAAAAAAAATTATGTTTAGTTATATTTGTTTTTTTCTTTTAATTTTGTTATGTGTTCTATCATATTTTCTTTTATATCAAATTATAAACCATTCATTTTATTTATTTTTGTTTATTCATTTTATTAAATAATTTGAACCATTAATATTTAATAATAAGTTAGTTTATATATTTGTTTTGTTATATGATTCATCACAATTTAAACGATGTTATTGGCATATAGTTTAATTTATGTTGGAAAGTTATAAGTCGAATCAAGTGTACTCAATTTTTTAACTTTATGTGACAAATAAATACTTTTTTAATCACTCAATATTAGAAATTTTATTACCAACAAAAATACGCATGAATTTTTCACATTTTAATATCAAAAATATAAATTATTAATAAAACTCCTCCCCTCCCCTTCTGAACCAAACACATTTTTAATTAAAATCTCTCCCTTCCCCTCCCCTCCTCTCTTTTAAACCAAACACTTATCTGATTAAAAAAAAGCATTCACCTCCCCTCCCCTTCCCTTCATTAAAATCCCTCTCTTCCCCTCCCCCTCATTTGAACCAAACAGACCCTAAAGGTCATGTAAAAAACCCCGATGCCCAATCCCAAGAAAACAGAATAACTTATAATAAGAATTAACTTCAAAGCCGATGCTATTTCTTCAAAAATGTCCAATGAAACCATAAAAATATTAAAATAAGAAATTGTTATCCTCTTCATGAGGGGAAAATCATACTCCTTATGTTCCTTTTTAAGTGTCACTTTTTTGAAAAAAATTTGTTTCTTTTTAGATGTCATTTCAAAGTTCAAGGTTGTATTGATTATTGTTTTGTCAAAACTACGCCTAATTATTTATTAGGGAGAGAGAAAAAGTCATACATTTTAAAAAAGTATTTTTAAAAAGTTAAGGGTAAAATAGGAAAAAAAGATAATTATTGTTTAGAAAGTACAATTATTATCTTTCTTGGTATGTGTAAAAAGTCAAAAAATGACACTTAAAAAGGAACAGAGGGAGTAACAATTAAAGGTATGTGTAAAAAGTCAAAAAATGACACTTAAAAAGGAACAGAGGGAGTAACAATTAAAGGAAACATGTTAAGATACATAACTTTTAAAAAAATACATATTTTTCTGATTTCTCTATGTTTGAAGAGTGTAGTTATTAGTACTACTTATTTGATATCAATATAAAAGAATGAACTTCTTATTTAAGAGCAAAATTATTTAAACTGCAAACAATTTTTTGATGAAGATGCCACTAAAAAAGAAGCAGTCTTGAGATAACAATTGAAGTTGCTGTTTTGTGACTGGCCAATAGTTCAGGTCATGGAATAAGCCTCTTGCGAATGTAAGGTAAGTAAGTCTACGACATACCAACATTGGGTTCATCCCTTCCCTAGATCCTGACGCTGCAGGATACTGCATAAAAAGCATCCAATGCAATGGGGCTCCCATCAAGGGGAATCTGGGGAGAGTAGATGTACGCAACTTTACCACCACAAAATGGGTGACCCCCATAGACTCAGAGTCTATTTCCAAGACTCGAACCTGTGACCTCCCCCAGATTACAAAGCAGCAACATTCTGTTGCGCCAAGGCTCACCCTCGAAGTGGGGATAGTGCATACCGGATATAATTTGATAATAGTTTTGAGAGACAACATCGAAATGCTGACAGTAAAGACTTAAGAAAATATCAACTTACTTGGTATGTGAGAAGCTCTTCAACTAGTTTATGTTCATTTTCCTCACCTGGATTTCGTCAGAGCAGTATTAGTCGTGAACATTCTGAGTCAAAATATACACTTAAATAGAGTAAAGCAGTATTAGTTGTGAACATTATGAATCAAAATATATACTTGAATAGAGTAAAGCAGTGCTTTTACCATATTCCTGAATTACTTTGGCAACCATTTCAGGACGAAATCCCATATTAATCAAAGCGTCAAACACCTTGGTATTAGATGGACCTGCTGCAAATGAGTTTTCCTGTCGGGCGAGAGAAATGTATGTTAGTACATGCATGTGATTGTGCAACAACAACAACAACCAAGTCTAATCACACTATGAATCAACTTCCGCCATAATGTTCTATCTAGGACCATGCGTCTATCCAAATCGTTAATCTTAATCTTTCTTAACTAAGGACTTCTACTTGGAATATTACCTACAAAAGTCCTCTGATCTACCAAGTAAGCTAAAAAGGCGCATAAAAGCTTACCTCTAGAGACCGAGACCCAGAAGTCTGTCCATAGGGAACAGTTGTACAGGACGAATGAAAGCTTTCAATCTCAAGCTCATCATCAGTATTCCAGTCATAGCCGCCACTCTCTAGACCAGAATCATCACTCTGCAATAAATGTCACATGATTATCACAGAAACATATAAAACATTTACAAAGCCACATTACTGGTATCCCAAACCACACATTACAGTGTTACTCATAAGCAAGGACCCATAAAGCAACAAAATATAAGCATAAATGAAATTGCGGATACGATTTTAAATTGGTAAGTAAGACATACCATTTTGTCTCCCAACTTCACAAAGGACGGATCTTTGGCTGCTTAAGCACATAAGCAACAAGATTAGCATCAAACACAATTAATTTGAAGTTATAATCCACTCTGAAGCCAAACTCAATTTTAATCAAGAACTCCAACATACATAAATCTTATAACCCCTAGTGGTCCCCCAAATGTGAAATAAAAAATGCACTAGAACTGAAAACAGAAACTTTTTTTCTAATCACACGACCAAAACGGAATTTTTTTTTATAATCCCTAGCTTTCCTTTCTAATCACAAGAAAGCATAAGTCTGAAAGAAAAATCGGAATTTTTTCTCAACCCAAATCTGAAAAAACTAAACAGAATTACTCTCATTTCCACAAATAACAAAACCACAATAAAAACCCCTAAATTAAATCAACCAAAACAATCATCAGTGTCAAATTAACATCAATTTCCTACCACAAACCCGAAACTGACATGCAACATATGAATCTCTTTACCTTCGAGAAAATGGACGACGTATGAACTCCCTCTCCAATTGTATCAACCAATTTCTTCAACCTCTGCACAAAAAGCAGAAATTTTCGCTTAATTAACCAAATTCATGCAACGAGTTAGTTACACAAAAAAAAATTATTGAAATTGTATAAAGAAAATGAAAACCGCTTCAGAAAGAGCAATGAGAGAGTGAGGGAATACGAAGAAGATGAAAGAGTTTCGAGTTTTATTCTCTCAAGAAAAACTCTTCAGAAATGAAAATAAGCAAATTGAGTCACCGAGTGACTCAGGAAGAGACTCAATAACGCGACATCACGAATGTGTGCCACTCGCTACACTGCTCTTTTCCTTTTCTTCATTCCCTTCGGTGGGACATAGTGAGAGAAGGAAAATCTCAACCGTTGATAATTCTTAATGAAAACAAAATAGAAAATTATCTCAGCGAGTATGATTCAATCACATTCGCTGAGAGTGAGATAAAAAATTAAAATTTTTTATTTTTTTATAATATTAAATATAAAGTGATGTGAAAATTCTTGAAAATGATAACGCGTCAGTGATATTATTATAGAATAGTTAATGTTATGAAATTTTATTATATTTAAATTTATTTATTATTTATTTATAAATATAAAATGACATAAAAATTTTTAGATACAAATTTCTAGAATCTTGTATTAAGCTAATAACAAATAATAAAAATTTAAGGTGTTATATTAAAAATTTAAGAAAGAAATTAAATTAACAATATAAAAGAATATAAAAAATATCATAATGTCAATTAATTATAGATGTTGGATATTAAAAAGAAATTAATTTTTATTTTAGTTATTTAATAAAATAAAACAACGGATGATAGTGACTAATTGACAATGTAAAATATTTTATATTGATAATACATAGTAATTAATCTTTAACAGAAAATACTCATGTTGATAAGATTAAAATGAAATTTTAATAAATAAATTATAAAATTAATTATTCTGTGTATTACTTATTATAAAAATAATAAATTTTATGATGAAATATGTCTATTAAGATTTTTCAATATTCTTAAAAAATAAAAAAAATTTAACAATGGTGAACAGTATTCTTTAAAATTAATAATTTGTGATTCTTTTCATTTTTATAGATAAAATACTGATTCGACTTATATTCATTCAATTGGAGATATATAATATTTTTTTAAATTATTAGTTAAGTAATAAAATAAAAATAAAAATAAAATGATTTGAAAATTCTTGAAAAATGTAATGCATCAGTGATATTATTGTAAAATAGTTAATGCTATGAATATTTTATTATATTTAAATTTATTTCTCAATTATTTATAAATATAAAATGACGTAAAATTTCTAGAACCTTGTATTAAGATAATGACAGATAATTAAAAATTAAAGTAATCAAAGTTGTGAGTGTCTAAAAAGAAAAAGGTAATATTAGAAATTTAAGAAATATTTTAATTGAAATACACTAATAATGTAAAAGAATTTTATGATGTCACTTAATTATAGACGTTGGATATTAAAAAGAGTTTAATTTATATTTTAACTATCTAATAAAATAATCTAAAAGAATGATGATGATAAATTGACATAGTAAAATATTTTACAATGATAATGCATAGTAACTAATTTCTAAAAGAAAATACTCTTGATAAAATTAAAATGTAATTATAAAATTAATTATTCCGTATGTTACTTATATAAAAAATAATAAATTTTATGATGAAATATATCTATTAAAATTGTCAATATTTTTGAAAAATATAAAAAAATTTAACGACGATCAACGCTATTCTTTAAAATTTATAATTTATAATTCTTTTTATTTTTATATATAAAATGCTGACTCGATTTATAGTCATTTAATTAGAGATATATGATTACTTTCTTAAATTATTAAGTAATAAGTAAATAAAAGTGATCCAAAAATTCTTCAAAAATGTTACATGTCAGTGATATTATTATTGTAAAATGGTTAATGTTATGAATATTTTATTATATCTAAATTTATTTATTATTTATTTATAAATGTAAAATAACATAAAAAAACTCTAGAACCTTGTATTTTGATAATGACAGGTAATAAAAAATAAAGGTAATCAAAGTTATGAATGTCTAAAAAAATAATATTAGAAATTTAAAAAAGAATTTAATTGAAATACACTAATAGTATAAAAGAATTTTATACTGTTAATTAATTATAGATGTTGAATATTAAAAAGAGTTTAACTTTTATTTTAATCATCTAATAAAATAATACAAATAGATTATGATACTAAATTGATAGTGTAAAATATTTTACATGACAATGTATAGTAATTAATTTCTAAGAAAAATACTCGTGTTGAAAAGACTAAAATGAAATTTTAATAAATTAATTTTAAGATTAATTATTTTGTATATACTTTTATAAATAATAAATTTTATAATAAAATATATCTATTAGAATTGTTCAGTATTTTTGAAAAATATGGAAAATTTTAACGATCTTTAAAATTCATAATTTGTGTTTTTTTTCTTCATTTTTATAGATAAAATGCTGACTCAATTTATATTCATTTAATTGGAGATATATAATTACTTTCTTAAATTATTAATTAAGGAATAAATATTTTATTATATTTAAATTTATTTATTATTTATTTATAAATATAAAATGATATAAAAGTTTTAAAACCTTGTATTATGATAATGACAGATAATAAAAAATTAAGGTAATCAAAGTTGTGAGTGTCTAACAAAAAAAAGTAATATTAAAAGTTAAAGAAAGAATTTAATTGAAATATACTAATGGAATAAAAAAATTTATACTGTCAGTTAATTATAAACGTTGGATATTAAAAAGAGTTTAATTTTTATTTTAATCACCTAATAAAATAATACAAATGAATAATAATGATAAATTGAAAGTATAAAATGTTTTACGCTGACAATGCATAATTAATCTTTAATAGAAAATACTCGTGTAGATAAGGTTAAAATGAAATTTTAATAAATAAATTATAAAGTTAATTATTTTGTATATTATTTATATATAAAAATAATAAATTTTATGATAAAATATATCTATTAAAATTGTTCAGGTCTTGTGGGTTTGTCGAACTTCTCCCAAAGAGGCGATAAGTACAACACCATTTAGTTTGGCCTACGGACATGAAGTTGTGTTGTTTGTTGAGATTTATTTGCAATTGGTTTGAATTCAGAGGCTGAACGAGATTCAATTAAAAAAATTGTAACATAATGTTAGATAAAATGGTCGATCTGGATCAGAAAAGGTTGGCAACGTTGGATATTTTTGTTGAGTTTGTAATTTCTTGTGTCGAAGTAGTGTAGCTCGACAGAAACAATGTCTAGTCGAATTAGGCTAATGTGTGTGTGTGCGTGTCGAGTTATATTAGTGTGTCAAAGTGTCAAATCAGGTTGTTTCACACAAGATTTCGACTTAGACTTATTTTTGTAATGTTAGCTATTTTAGACTTTTTATAGTTTTGGGCTTTACCTTGAGGTACAAGCTAACATAAATCTATAAATAGGGAGTAATCTTTATTTTATAAGCATAACTCATAGTATTGTATTCATAGTTTGCAATTGCAAGTGAATAAGAGATTTTTCCACAATTTGTGGACAAAGAGAAACTCTTTAGATATTCATTCTTGTTCTTCTCCCACATTATTTTCTTTCTTTCTCAATATTTTCTTTTAACTGTCATTGTGTGATTGATAACAACCTTGAGATCAAGATTGAGCGTTATAACACTTCAATTTTTAGTAATTATATATATATATATATATATATATATATATATATATATATATATATATATATATATATATATATATATATATATATATATATATATATATATATATATATATATATATATATATATATATATATATATATATATATATATATATATATATATATATATATATATATATATATATATATATATTAATTGTGTGATTTTGTGCGTAATTAATTTATTTAGATTATTTTATTTGGTAAAAATGATATAGAAATAATATAAATAAGATAATTGAGCTTATTGGATGAGAATGTGAAGAGTAAAGATAAGGGTATGATTAGTAAACCCATTAGTTACTATATTAGTTGTTATATGGGTAAACCCATTAGTTATTAGAACTAGTTGTTATAAATATTTTATATATAAAGAGAAAAATAGAGTTAATAGGGGGAAAAGAAGAAAAGAAGTTAATATAGAGAAAAGGAAAAGGGAAAAAGAGGAGAAGAAAACCTAAGGAGGAAACTTAAGAGTTCATCAAGAAACCAAGGTAAGGGTGGGTCTTTACATGATTATGGTATGATAATACAATTATGATTGTATTGTAAAATGTGTTGTATACCATTTAAAAGTGAATTATATGTGGATGGTTCATAAATATGTGTTGTATGTGTAATTGAGTGGTAACTCAATTACGATGAATTATTGTAAAATGTGTTGTATACCATTTGAAAGTGAATTGTATGTGGATGATTCATAAATATGTGCA